AATTATTATCTAATTTATCTAATTTATCTGCAATCTAAACCTACTAGAGTGATTAAAACTCATCTAGATTTGATAATATAAAATATGATTAGTTAGAGTACTGTAGTTTATCTATTCGGATATCTATTTAGTTAGTTTTTTATTAGTTTTTCCTTGTGGTAGGCAAATATAAGAATTGTAAAAGTCTCCAGTATGTTGTTGATCAGGAAGACTACAAATGTAACTGTGAGTATATACTGTTCTGACTTGTGTTAAGGATCTAAATGTGTTTGTATAGTTTGTTTGTTGGTTACATGATAGTTGGTTAGAAAAAATTTTAGTTATTTAAGATATATATATAAATATATTTGTATATATTTTTTTTTAATATTAATAGTGAGGCCATGCCTTTATCTTTATTGAATATTTAATTGAAATTTACATAGAGTACAATTCTGCTTTTAAAAAATATATTTGTATATTAATTTTTAATTTTTTATTTTTTTTTATGTTTTAAAAATGACATCTTGCCTGTATATCTTTATTAGAATAATATATGATTATATTATTATATACAAAGTCTATCAATAAAGCTACAATTAGTTATATGTACAACTTTAGTTATTGTCTATTTAAAGGTTCTGCTTACAGGTTATTTACTAATTGCCATACCTAAAACTTGTCTGTGAGTTTTTTATTTAAAGTCTCTGATTTTCAATACTATTGTATATATATATAAGTCTTATATTACCAATTTAGTGATATCTCAGATTAGGACTATCTGGTTACTATTTATATCAAGATAACATCCTATTGGATGTTACTAAGTATCTATAGCCCTCAATTCATCCTTGACACAAACTTTACTAAGTATAATACCAAGATTACCTCTTAGATTTATCTAACTTTAATGTATTCTGTATCTATTGAAACTGATATTAGTACCAGAAGTGTTTTAATTTTCAGTAAGTTCATTTCTTTCCTATAACTTCCTTTTATATTTACCATATCACTTGCAGTGCACCTTTTCTCCATTTTTGGTATGTTCACTGTTTCTCTTGCATCAAGTACCAACTTTTCATATTAGAAAGCTTTTTTTTAGAAACTTCTTTATATACTAATCTTCTAATTACATGGACTTAGCCACAGGGCTTCACATATATTCATATGCTTCTGTAGATTACAGAATTTTGCCTTTAGCTAGAATTGAACTATTGACCTTGTCTGTAAAGAAAGAGGTGCCTAGACCACTAGGCTACAGGATCCCATCTCTTGTATATTAATTATATTGTTTTTGAATTTATATTATAAATAATTTTATTATAAAAGATAAATATTATTGACTATGTTGATAAATTTATATATCAATTTTTAAAAAAAAATAAACTAAATTGTTTATTTTTTATAAAATTTTTCATATCAAGAAATAAAAAACTAACAAAAATATATATGATTCCTTATATAAGTTTTATAATTGTATAATAATGTTTTCAAGCTTCTAATTAGAGGCTTGCATTGGATTTCACAGTTCAACCTGGCCTAGCTCAGTCTACAAATTTTGTAAACCAGACTGAAACTGAAAAAAAATTTTATAATTGTGAACCAGACCAAACTAAAAAATTTTCAAAATTTTATAATAAATTTTGTAAGCTAGGCAAGATCAGGCCAGACTGAAAAAAATTTGATGTATATGAGCAAACTGAACCAGACTGAAGAAAAATTTGATACATGCAGACTGGACTGACAAAAAAATTTTAACCCTAAATGTGTACCAGGCCAAACCTTAAAAATAGGCAATTTGCAGACCCTTACTTCTAATAATTTTAACTAAAACTTTTGTTTTATTACTTTTTAGAATTGTTTAGTTTGTATATCTAATATACTAAAATAATCTACTAAAAGAAAGCTTAACCCAAAATATAAACCTGTAAAGGTTTGTTTATACTTTAATATTTTATATTCTTAACTTTATTAACAAATAATTTGCTTTGTATAAGATCAAACATAGTATCTTTTTGAGTCTCTTATAATATTTTTTTATAGTTTTAGTGGTAGATCGCAGTTGAAGGGTATAAATTTCATAATAAAAATCGACAGAAAATTACTATTACTTTCATATAATGTTGGAATGCTGAAAGTTTCTGGCATTATGTAAAAATCATGTAGTTATAAAGGAGAAAAGTCAATAGCTCGCGATCTACCGAGCCAATTTGAATAATTCTACCACTATTAGAACCGGAATGACTTGTTATATAATCTTCGTTAGAAACTCAAGAAAGGTTTACTTGGCATGAAAAAACTTTTCATTGTAAGCTAGCTGCATTTCAACCCTATAGAAAAACCATATCAACTTCCGGTAATTTTTACTATTAAATTCGCTATTTTTATACCCTTTAACCACGATTTACCTCTTAATTTTTTGTGTTATTGTTCAGAAGATTATTAGAAAGGGTTTTTGGAATTGTATATTATAAATATATAGTAATACGTATTACTAGTATATAATATAAAATTGTCTTTTTTATTTATTTTTTTTTAACTTTAATAACGTTGCTAATAATTTTTATTAAAATTTTTGTATTTATATATATTTTACCTTAAGTTTATGCAAAGTTTTATTATTACAACTACTTTTGTGTCTTAAGTAAAAAAATAATTCTAACCTTATTTTAAATCGATTTACTCAAAAAAAGTTCATCTGAAAAAGTTGTCAATTTCGTCAACACCTAACCCATATTAAAAGAACCACTATCATCATAATGCAAAGGTTATTATGGCCTTAATTAAAAAATTTTTACAATTTGGCCTTAATTTTCACTATGGATCCTTATTTATTGTTTCATTTTTCAGGCCATTATATGTAAATTCTCCTTAAAACTCGAACTTAAGCGAGAGTTTTGCCAGAAAAATAATCTCAAGAACTACATAGATATTATAATAAAATTTAAATTTGCTAATAAACTTATCAAATATTATCATTATTAATTTCTAAACTACCATTGTATATTAAGGGACAGTCCACCGTTAAATGGTATAAAAATACGGCGTAACTTTTATATGTCGATGGAATGCCGAACGTTTCTGACAATAAGAAAAAATCATATAGTAACAAAAAAAAATTTTAATATATTATGATTTATACAATCGATTTTAATGATTTTATCAGAATCGTAACATGTTCTACAATTTTAATTAAACTTCAATTGATGTTTACTTAGTAAAAAAAATAATACTTTTCATTGTAGTGAACCGACATTCTGCTACTATAAAAAATTTATAAGTTTCAACTATGATACTTAGTAATGTTTATGCGAACTCCCCTTAATTTTTTTTAAATAAAGTACGTATGCATAAGTGTCTTCTATTAAACTTAGATAGATCCAAACGGGACTTCCTTTTCCCGACAGTATTAGCATCCCGATAATTATTTTCCTAACATATCACTTTCCTGACCATTGTATGAAATCTGATCCCAAAATTATGTGAATTTTGTGCATTATGATTTTGTTTTGTAATTAAATTTATAGATAAATTATGTGCACTATGTAGCACAAAAGTTTGCGAAAAAAGTGCTGAACACATTGTGCATGTTCCCGACAATATCTATTTCTCGACAGTATCATTTCCCGACAAAATTCTTTTGGCAAATAAAATTTCGACAAAATTGACCGGAACTAACCCTAATCCTAATCTAATGTGGGCCAATTTGTCAGGAAAGTGATACTGTCGGGAAATAGATATTGTCCGGAAAAGAAGTAAGGTTTGTCGGGTAAGTGAATGGTTGGGAAAGTGTTTGTAGGATCCGGATTAAAACGTGATAACTATCAACCCAAAAATCAGAATTTAGTGCAGACTTTAATTTTTTGCTTATCTGATATACAGCTCATAGCTACAATTTCATGCTAAAAACTTTTATTGTCCGAAGCGAAGCAGAGGACTTATACTTCTACTAGATAATTTCAACGCACGATCATGCAATGTCTGTTTGAAAAAACCAATAACATTTGTTACACGTGATAATTTATGCGGGATGCAGATCACAAGTGATGCGAAACTTATTTATACACTTTAAAGTACAGTACTATAAATCTCCAACTAAAAATCCCAAGAGATTTCTTATGCTTCGGACTTTTAACGGTCTCCGTTTCCTAGTTTAGAAGTCAAACTGTGGTTATATCATAGATTTTTCTGTTTTCACATTGGTTTTTCGAATTTTTTTTTAATATTAATGGTGCACTGCTTATTTTTTTATTTCAGACTAGAAATAATTATATATATATAACATATGCTTTTAATTCAATATAGAATAAGTCCAATATAGCAATCTATATCAAATATAGATCCTAATAGTTCTAAATAGCCAGTTGTGTTTGATACAATTTTTAGCTATATTTTTTTATTAATTTTCAGATATCTATAGACATACAGTAATTTACAGAGTTTTCTGTAAAAACTTACAGACCTTCTTTTTTCTAATGAAGTTTACAAATAATTGGAATACAATACTAAGCATCAATAAAATGCCAAATACAGTAATTAAAGACCCAAAAAGCGCACTTGATATAGGTTGTTGAAGAAAAGTTATAAACGAAGGATTTTGTTGTTCTTGAATACTTGGCCATATTGAAGTATCGAAAGCGTTCAAAGCAGATTCGGGTAAAGGTTCAATGTAATAAATTGGGTTTATTCGGGAAGGTGTAGATTTACGGTGTGGTCTTTGTATTTTTTGTAGTTCGGGTACGGTAGGTGGGTCATGTTTGATCTCTGATAATAAAGGAATTAGAGATTGTGAACTTTCAGCATCATTATTTTGAATGCCATCATCTGATCCGGTTTCTGGCTCATTATGTGCTTCAGATAATAACAACTCGTTCGGTGAAACATCAATTTTTTGATCTGTATCAGAAGTTGTAGTTACAGTAGCCTCAATAGTAGTGGACTGCGGCGCCTGATTTTCAGAATTCAGCATTGTAATTTGAAGTGCCAATGCTCTAATCATTTCATTAAATATAGAAATATCGTTTGCTCCCAGAATTCTTGCGCATGCCGATGTAAGAAGCATTGAACGAAGCGGAGATAATCTATGTCGGTTTTTCAATAAATTTTCACATGAAATTGGTGATAAAGGACTGTTTAATTGTGATGCTTCACATTGAGCATACGTTCGTGACCATGGGAATATAGATGATGTGTGATGTGGATTGGAAGAGTAAGGATAAGGTTCGCGCACTAAATGACGATGTGGTTGCGTTATTGCTTGACTTTGCGACTTATCAGATAATGGATGATTATGTACTGGATAATTTCGTGTTTCATCGTTTGTTAAATAATGATGGCGATGATGAGGGTTTGGTTGTATTGGTGCTGCTTGAATTATATTTTTGTTCATTAGATAGTGGTGATGTGGCTGTACGCTATCCGTAGGGAAAGGAACACGTGGTTCTGATACAAATGCATAGGTCAAAGAACTAGCCACAGAAACAAGTAAAACATAAAGGGATAAGAGGGCAACGCAAAAAGATGAATATGACATTTTTATGTCGTTTTTAAAAGGGTTTCAATTAATGCGTATTTTATTTATACTTTATTGCTACCTTTCGTATTTTAGTATGACTATTATGCACATTAATCATCATTGAAAAATACGTAGACAGTGACTCAATCCAAATCATCGATCACAAGTGATTTATTCAACGTAAAGATTAAATAGAGGTTATTTTTGCAGATGCAGATGCGATTTAGAAAGATGCTTAACATCAAATATTTAATCTGATTTTAAAAAGATTATACCTTGTCATCTGAAAATTAATTATTCACCACATAATTAGTGTTAAAAGTATACACTTCTAATAAATTACACAAATATAATAATGATCTCTTAGCCCTAGTATTATACATTATCTTAAAAAATAATGGCAATAATTTAACAAAATTATATTGGAAAATCTAAAAAATCGATATAAATTAAATTCTACGTTTATAGAAACGTCTCCATTTTTCATCGATTTTTTCCAAATAATAAGTTCCCTTAAAGAACGCTTCTTCGACTGAACTTCCATCACCCACAACATCAAAATCATTTTTGTTATGAGTTTCTTCCCGCAATAGCATCACTTCATTAAACTTTTCTGGAGACGATTTTACACGAGAATCAAGACGGTTTTTTATATCCAAAATTTTATGGATTTGATCGATGGGTTTCACAATTTGGAAGGAGAAAAATGATGACGCAAGACCTGATCCGTATGAAAACATGCCGACGCGTTTTCCTAACTAGTATATTTAATTGCATTAGTGTTGGAATGAATAAAATAACCGTAAAAGCCGAATCTATGTTCCCGGGATACACCATATAGAGTAAATATGTTTACTATATCTCATGTAGTATATAGTATATAATACTTGGATCCTTGATATAATTGGTAGCTCTCCCACAAAAAATCTCCCTCGTGATTTTTATCCAATTAGATCGAAAGATCAGGTGTAAACAATATTTAGGGTTAGGATTAAGTCATGTTAGGGAGGCGAATTTTGCCTAAAGTTCTGTGGGAGATCTATAGGCGTTGTATAAATCACCGCTTAACTATTAAAACCGGAAGGGATATACACCACGGGGTACACAGGACCGATCTTACGGTATATTTAACCATTATCCTAGATCTTTTAATCTGCAGTAACTGTGTAGTAACTACATAGTAATTAAATTTAATAGTAATTATGTAGTCACTATGCAGTTACTGCATATTAAGTATCTAGGTCTCTGTATAGATATTAACGCACCAATTCTTCAGGTGCAACGTTTGACAGCAAAGTTGCAAGGCATATATATAAAGAGGCGCAGTACATATTCCCTACTTGGGTAGCAGCCATTAAATAAGGCAAAACTTTCTTAGTATACGAAGGTTTAGAAACTCCTATAAATGCTTTTTCAAGCTCTTTAGACTGTAAAGACTCTTCAGCATTCATATTCTAGTTGGTGAATAAGCTACATAGGTTAGTTCAAATAATATCGTAATTGAAATTATATTTTCAGATCTAACAAATTTTACCTTGAATTGTTGAACATCTTTAAAACAAGGGTCTTCGGAATTGTAAACAAAGTCATTATAGAATAACCTAGCATAAGACTTCTGCACAAGCTTGCAGTAAGGCGCGTGAAACAGCATATAATCAAAGTAGTTTATGGTAGGTCTTTCTATTTGTTCCTATTATCATTACATGTGTATCAGTTATGAAAAACCAACCAGAGATAAAGAAAATGTATGATATAATACTTTGGCAATTAATTTTTCGACATAACGATTGTAACACACATCCAAGGATTTCAGATAACAAGAATTACTGAGTTGTCCATCAACCACAGGGAATTCAGAAGATAAATCAGGTTTATCTGGATTTCAAGATAACAGGATTTCGTTAAGAATAATTCCTACTTTATCGAAAGAAAATTTAATTAACATACAGAAATCCCAAGTGTGAATCATATGAGTTGCACGGAGACCTTAGAATTAATAAACGCGTGTTATTTTTTGTAGAAATATTAAAATCAGATTAAATGTAGTAAAAAAATATAAAAGCTTACCGCGATCAAAAACAATTGGTGCATCTTTGCCGATAAGCAAAGCAACACACCCCGCACCACCTGTAGGACGTGCTGGTCCTGAAGCATAGACTGCGATATCGGCAGCAACAACAAGTGCATAACGGCCATCCCATGATGATGATTCCACCCAGTTCAAGGCATTGAAAAGAGCATTCGTGCCTAAAGTATTTAAAAAACAAGTATAAATAAACATCTTTTATAAGTAGACTCAAAATAATAATGTTTACCTCCGTAACAAGCATTTTTGCTGTCAATTCCTCCGACGTCAGTGTTTCCAGATTCAGTAAAGAGTTGCATTAAAACACTTTTTACGGACTTTGACTTATCAACTGTGTGAATAAAAGCAGGCAATGAACACTATACGGTTAAAATTCAGTGAAAGATTGAATTTTAAGACTTACTGATAGTTTCAGTACCAACTTCAAGATAACCAATATCCTTATAAGAGATATTGTACTTTTCAGTGAGATTTTGCACAGCTAAAATACAAAATATTATGAACATTCTAATGATTACAACAATAATGATCTTTATTGAGCAATTAATACTCACTAGTTAACGCAATGGAATTGACATCTAAAATTCATAAATATAAATTAAACCATGCCAAATAAAGAATTGACAATTCTTGAAGTCTGTCGTACCTTCACGGTCATCACAGAATCCCATTCTTGTTTGACCCAAACCGATAGTATATCTACCAGTGGATACACCATCAAATTTTTCGAGTTCGGCTTGGTCGACATACTGTGAAATTAAAAATACTAATAATTGAATGAATTCATTCAGCACGAAATCTACTGTTGAAAGATTACATACCCTTTTGGGAAAATATATTTCTACGGCTAAGATACCAACGTTTTGCGGATACATCATTGAATTATTATGTGGGTGTAAAATTTTCGTGGCAATTTTAAATTAAATTTCTCGGAAACTCCCTTATAAAAAAAAATATCAGTCTTTACATAAATAGTAAAGATTTGCCTTTACGATTGTTATCAGTATCAGATAAATCAGGAAGATATTTCCTTGTGGCGATGGAAGGTACAAAAAAGAAGGATTTTCTTGGAATGAATGTAAAAACCCGTAGTTCCTAATTAAAATTATTATGCCTATCACATGGTATATTTGTTGTAAATATTTCATGTGACATACGGAAAGTTAGCACCTAATATAGAGATTGTACCAAAGTAAAATTTCTACAAGAATAGCCTATACGTAGCTATTTAAGAATTAGAAACTATCGCTATTAGGTTAGCGTTAGCAATTGAGAAATCTCGATTAGCATTAGAACTAAAATTATTTAAATAAGGGAACACAATGATAATTTACTAATCAACGTATCCAATTTTTTTCATCGGGTTATTTCGGATTGATTATAGTTATCATTCACAATTTTATTGGTCAGTAGTCCCGAAGAATCTTAGTGGTCAATCTATAACGATAAAAACGTCAAAATTTTATTGAGAAAATTACTTGTACCTTCTAGCACTTACCCCGAATTGTAGATTAATAGGAATTATTATTACACATTTCGATGCATATTACACGATATTTGTTGAACGCTACGCAAAAGGTTTGCCGTTAAATCCGAGCATATTGTAATTATTCAGACATACAGCCAATTTTACACATTTTGATTTATTAGACATCCACTGGACTTTTTGGTCTAGCGGTTCATCCAAATCCACGGCATCATCTAATCGAAACTTATAATAATACCCTCAATGCACTCACAAAATTACCTTCAAATGCTTTGTACCGTCAGGCAACGGAATCATTAACAAAGCATAGGCTTTCAATTGTTGAATCAACTGAAAACATCAAAGAAATTGAAAATAAAATTGATGCAGGTATAATTGAAGAAGTTATTTGGCAGGCTGAAGATGAACTTAAGTTGGTTGCTAAGATGGAAGAATGGAAACCGTAAGTATTTTTGTGAACATTGTATCGTTTATATCTGGTCTAAAAATATGTGAATTATGACAATCAAAATTGTATAAACATTCCAATTATAGATGGGAACCTCTTCAAGACCCACCACTAGAAAAACAATGGGGATATGGAATTTCCAAATAAAATTAATATTAACTCTGAATTTATTTGTCTGATAATGTTCATAAATTTTTGGTTTAAAGCTAACAATAATCAAGCGTATACATGTAGCTATATTATTAAGGTAGTGGAAGGTAGTATATAATCAACTCGAATTTGCAATTCTTATACAATAAAAATTTTAAAATTCATTTTAAAGAATTTACTATGTTTTTAATCCGAACTTCAACAGCCATGGACATGTTCTGATCGATAAATTTACTAGTATTTTTTTTTTGTTTTTTGTATAATGTATACTTTTTAAACCGAATTTGCAGGCAAATTTTTCTGCATATGTTCGATCAAAATTGGTTTTGATAGTACAACTTAAACAAATCATAATGTAACCTCCTATAATATTATTACCAATCCGATTACCCGCAAAGAGCTTTTAACTAATATCACTTCTAACTACTTTTAATAGCATATCGCCTTTATTTTCTTTTAAATTGGTATGTAAAGTCAAATCACGAGCTGTTATCAGATGTTCCATTTACACATCGCTTTAACGCGGTAAATAAGGATTGGACCCGGGTAAAAATTGTTATTATATGATCACCCGAAATACATAATAAATTACCCGGATAACTCGGGTAAGTTAATAATACCCGGGTAGAGATTTTCCCAACGGGTCCAATCTCTATGTACGTTTTTGGATAAATTTTTTGTAAGAAAATTTGCCTACAAAAGTCTCATTTAAGGGATAACATTTTTGACCTTAGACAAAGTTTATTCTCCAAGCTTTGAACTTTATAGCAAAATTAAATCTTTTATACCAAAAAAAATCGAGACACGAAATTTGCAATGTTTTAATTTAAAGGACAAGATCTTCTATTAAACATCACAAATTTTGCTTTGCTAATAATTGCAAACAACAGCTCATTATTAAAACAACCCCATTTTACCTGTAGGTTTTAAATATTTACTAAGTGGTATTTTTTTAGGAATTGCTATTTATATCCCTCAATCGATTAATTAAATTATTCTATTCAATTATCAATTTTATTCGACTAATCGATTAGTTGCCTAATTGATTAATCAAGTTGCAATTAATTTTAATTAATTAATTAGTTGCAATGAATTGATTAATTGACTAATTGATTAATTGCAACTAACCAATTAATTGATTAGTTGATTAATTAATTAGTTGACAAATTAATTAATTAATTAATGATTAATTTTTTTTAAAAAAAAATATTAACGAATTAATGATTAATTAAATAACTAATTCTTTTTGATAATCTTTTGGTTAATTAAAAAAAAAACATTATAAAAAGATTCAAATAATTAATATTTCTGGTCCTATATAAAATATTTATTTGTTTTTAAGTGCATATTGTGTTTTAGTTGTTTTTTTGATAATTTTTTTTTAGAAAAAGTTATACAAATGTTCTTTGAGAAAATTGAATAATTAACATAATGTCAATTTGTAACTTAATATTGTCTTGCATAATTTTGGTAACAGGAAAGTTTGCTAACTAATCAAATGATGAATTAAGTTTAGATTTTGTTGCTTAGCTATATGTTTGTTGAGGTTGTTGTTGTTGTTATTGCTGTTTTGGTAAAGATGTTTGGTGTAAATATTATTGTTGTAAATTGTTACTATATATGTAAGAATTGATATTATTAAACATATTAGAGTTGTTATTATTCATGTTATTATTAATAATAGTTGTTTTTTCTATATTAAATATGAGAATTATAAGTTTTAAACCAAAAAATTTGCATAAATAATAATTAATAAGTTGTTTAATTAAGAGTTTATATTGAAAAAATAATTTTTATTCTGAGTTTTAATAGTTTGAAGTTTGAAATAGTTAGCTAAAATAGTTTTTTTTATAAATTTTAATTAAACAACTATTATAATATATTTTATTTTAATAAAAAGTAATTTTATTTTATAATATATAATAATTGTTAGTTACTTTATACCTTATCAAAATTTGATATTTTAGACAAATGTGTATATATAGTAAATATAAATAATAATAGCACATGTGCTTTAAAGTTTTTAAATACTTATTGAAGTTTCTTAGTTTGCAAACTATATGTTTTTTTTTGTTTTTTTTTTATTTATATAATATTATAGTAAAAACTTTAAAATACAATAAGAAATTTAATTACAAATAAAAATTTCTAAAATAAAAATTTTTAACCTATATTTGTGTTGCTAAAAAGACACTCAATATAATATTATACCTTTTATTTTCTATATATTGAGTGCTATAAATAATTATTTCAAATTATTTATAGCTAGAAAAAACCTTAAATAAAAATTAAAACATTATACATATAAAGCATATCGTTAAAAAGAAATCTTGTAAAAGCCATTTGTTAATAGAATGTATAATATTAATAAATTATGTAGAGTTTAAAAAATAGTTAGTACTGATAGGTATTATAAAAAATTAAATTTTTATATATTTAGTTTTAGCAATTAAATTTTGGAAAAGTTTTTATTAATGTTAAAATATGTTGTATATAATCATAGATCTTTTTTTTTTTTGTTATGTCAAAGTAGAAACTTTATTAAATAATAGAAGCAATTATATTAAAGATTTCTATACTACATTTGTGCTACTTATTTAAGACACCTAATATGACATTACATCTCCATTTTTATATAACACATTATTAATTATTTCAAATTAATTTTAAGTATAAAAAGGTTAGAAAGAACCTAAGATGATAGTCTTGGCATTTAGTAAATACAGTTAGTAAGTGTATAGCCTAGAATTAACCAGTTTTTAATAGATATAGTTAGATTTATAGTAAGTGTATTAGTAGTATTAGAATTAAATTAAGAAGGTAAAATTAAAGAGTATATTTTTGAATATTTAGATTTTTTAGTTATATTGTGAGCTTTTTTTCATTATTGTTGAAGAATGTTATATAGTAGTCATATATATTAATGAAACCAATTTAGAGTAGCATTTAATAAGACTATAAAGAAGAATAATGTTGTTTTATGAAGTAATATTTTAATATTATTGTAATGAGATATAGAGAAGAGGCCTTTGATAAGATTAAGAAAATAAAAGTATAATAGAGTGTTTGTTTGTTGTGACAAGATAATATAGATTTTATCTAAAAGTTCAGAAGAGATATTTAATTGTTAAGTAGTATTTGAAATTAAAGTTTAAAGGATTTGTTGAAGATTATATTTTTGTTTAGGATATATAAAGAGATGTAATATATCTTTAGGAGTTTGATAATAGACATAATTTGAAATAGTATATAAAAGCAGATATTGTAAATTAAGGTTTTATATAATAGATAGATTGTTATTAATAATTTTAAGATAAAAAATATAGAATTTTTAATCATTATTTAGAAAATTGATAATGTCAATATTTATTGATTATTTAATAGAAAATAAGTTTTAAAAGGATTTAAGTTATGACCAAGAGAAAAGTAATTATATAGTAATTATGTTTTGTAGAAATAGTTGGTTTTAGTAGGTATTGTATAGTTATGTTATTTAAAATGATCAGGAAGTAATGTTATAAAGTTAGATTTAATTAAGTATTTAGAGGTATCTTGTTTAGCTAAGAGATTAGCTTGATTATAAAAAGAATTATTAGAGTGGAATTTAACTTTATAAAAAGAAATTTTGAGAGATTTTGTTTGAATAAAATGATGGATAATAAATAAAATATCTTAGTTTTTAATATATAAGAATTTGTATAAAGAAAAAAATAATTAAATGTTTTTTAAAGCTAATAGATTGTCAATGTATATTGCTTTGTGAGTTTATTAAAAGAATAAATAAAAGATAGACAATTACTTCAAGTTTTGCTCAAGTAAAGTCAGAATATGAAGATATTGTACAGTTAAATTTGATTTAGATATTATGTTTAAAGATCTATCCAATACCAATTTTTGGATGTGATGTTTATGCATTAATAATTGAAGTATCTATATAGAAATGAGTGTTATTTAGAAGGTTTTTAGTTAATAAAAATAGATTAATAAGTTGGTTTTAGTAATGAGAAAAGGATATTTTTGGTAATAAGAGAAAGATATTTTTTTTGAATTATTTAAATTTCTGTATCAAAAATATAAATAGTTGGTAATTAAGATAATATCAAAGTTGAAATTACATATTGTTAAATATTAATAAGTGCATAAATTTTGTGATTATCAATATAGAGTAAATGTTAATATTCTTTTTAAATGATTTAATATAAAAAATATTAATAAAAGTTTGAAATATTAGTGTAGATGAGTTAGTAAAAATTAGAAATATTAAATCAGAAAAGATGTTATGAAAGAAGAAAAAGTTAAGTAAATTTTTTGTAAAGAGAATTTGTGAGTTATTAAAAACAATAAACTATTTATTTAATGATAATAAGTAATAAGAAATGATTGTGTCGAAGAAATTAATAAAGGTATTAATATTTGGTAAGTTAAGATGTAGCCATCTTTGAAAAATTGTATTGTTTTGAATAAGATTAAAAAGTTTAATAAACTAAGATAAGGTAGGTTCATGAGTAGATTTCTTGGTACATATATATATTGTTTCATAGAAGAATATATAAATTATCAGCTATTGTAAGTTGTTTAATAAAGAGTATTTTATTGTTTCAAAAGCTGTTAATTAGTGAATAAGAAATATTAGATAGAAGAATATCATATATTGTTTTTGTAAATGTAGGAATATTAATTGGTAGTGAGTTTAGTGCATTATTAAGTAAAAAAAAAAATATTGAAATTAATTAAAAATGAAAGTTGAAAGATGAATATAAAGTTTTTTGTTTTTAATAAAAACTTAGAAGCAGTATTTAGAAGAAAGAAAAGTTGTCATATTTTAGTTAGCCAATTTTTAATTCTGGTTATGCCAATAAGTTTAAAAAGAGAAGTAGTATAAAAAATATGTTCTATTGTAGATATTGCTACTTTTTGAGTTAAATGTTAAAAAGTTAAAAGTTTAAATAATAATGAATTAGTAAGAAGAATATTAGATGTATTTTTTGCAAGGTAAA